TAGCTATGAGAGCGAATACAACACGTCCGAAAAGAATGAGAATTCATCAAAATCAGTTTGAAGTGTATGAGCGTGTCATAGAGAATAGCTTCTCATGTAGTCATAATCGATTGCAATACTGAGTAACTCAACGGTCTAAGAGAAGGCCCAGCGAGTTGATTACCATCATGGACGTGCTAGCAAGATTGAACGTAACGGTCAATTGAACACAACTATGCGATTTCCATATTTAATCGCGGGGAGGGGGGGGGAGTTAACGGCGGCCTGCCAGATCACCAAAAGAGGTAATGGAGCACCCGAACGTGAGAACCACTGAAATAGATTGAGATTGATGAAGTTAACCTGAATATCATAGTGAACCGGAAGGACGTTTGTTGGCAACGGTATGAGAGGAACTCGCCGGTGTTTTTTGATGAGCGATTTACTGGTGAAATGAAACGTTTCGGGTGTGTGATCGGTTGACGAAGGTGGATATATATCCATTAAAGTCAGATTACGCTTCGACTCCGCAATATCCTAAGATATCATCTACTGACTGATTGGTAACAGAGTGGTGAATACATTCACGGAAATACGATTTAGATCACATGTTGATCAAATCGGATAATTTTATCAATACGTATTTATCAGTTATCATCATCGATAGTTGTTAATTATTGAAAATGGTGAGGATGATTGATATTGAACCTCACGATTGTTAGTTTGTTTTATCGATCTATATCGAAACTGTAAACTTCTCTGCTCGAAGCAAGGAGATTATTTCATGAAATGAATATTTCTCCATGACATATTTCTCCATAAACGAATACTTCTTATTCATGCAAAACAATAAGCATATCATAAGCGTAATGTAGGCATGCAGAGCAAAAACAATGCAAGTTGCTGATATGTAATCGTGATTAATAACTGGTAATCACCCAGTGATCATAAGGCATTGCTGGTTGAGTTGGTGCATCGGTTATGGATAAAGTTGGTGTTTGCGTATGAGTTGGTGACATTAGTATTACTGTTCTGTTCATTAGTCGTGTCGCATTCGATAACGAAAACTGAAGTTTGAGCACTTTCTTCATTACGAATATCGATGCAAAAACCGCTTTTCATCGAAAAGATTCATAAGAAAATTACTTTTCACCTCAATAGCGGATTTTTTAAGTTTTAGTTTTTAGTTTGCACTTTTCATTAGAAAGAATTTAGTTGTGGTAGAGGATTTTTGCAGCGATACTAATTGAAATCCGCACGAAAAGACATTTTGTTCGTTGAAGAGCTTGCAATTTATACTCATAGTCAATGGCACCAGTTGATTTTCGTTCATTTCGTAAACTTCCGCAGAAAAGTCTCGAATTTAAGTCATCCAACCAATGATTCAAATGACGAAGTGAAGATATTATAAATTTTGCAAAAAAAACGGATGATTGATCAATGCGAAATTGTTAGGTCTATTGGAAACAGTTGAGACAAAGTCGGTGATGTGGAATCAATCAAATCAGTCAATTCATTAAGTATTCATTAAGAAGTGCTGGTGAGTGCTAGTGTTAGGGATTATTTCTGAAAGATGAATGATATTTTTTAGTGAGTTAGTTGCAAATGAATTCAGAGTGCGATCGGTTGGAATGTTAGTTAAAAATTATGTCAAAACAAAACGAAACATGTTTCCAGATGTACAAATGTCACAATTTATTAGATGAATTAGCCGAAAGACGGTCACTTGCGAAATTTTTAAGATTTCGGACTGGGAATTCGTTTAGAATGAAAAGATTTCGCAACAAACAGGGGCATCATTAAAGCAGATACGGTGAGTGCATGAAGTATTATTGATGAAAATAACGCCTTACGAGATCTCCGGTAGCATTCGAGGCTTTCGTATGCTTGGCAGCCCAATGTCCAATCAAAAAAGCGAGTACCACACCGAATATGAATACGGCCACTATCAACAGACATAGAATACATCGACCCACATAATCCGGTCGTTTAACACTGCTCGCATAAGAACATCGCGATGGAAGACTTTCTGCAGAGATGTATTTGAAGATGTTATTGTTTTTTGATGGATACTGAAGCTATCACTATAGTCAAATCTTTATCAAAGGCTATATAACTTTCTTGTGGCATTCAAACAGATTGGATCGTGAGCTGGAACAGAAGTGTACTTGAATCCTATGAAAAATGCACAAATTCGAGAGCTATCTGCATTTCAGAAGGTTACTTCTACCGAACATACATATTACCTCCATCGATCGATGAAGTATTACATTAAAAAGATGAGGATACGCATTCCCATTAACTTCTGCGCTCAGTTTTGCTTAGCAACTGGTGATTAGCCGACATCAGAGATTCTTTTCTATTAGGAAAGAATGTAAGTTTTCGGCGAAATATTCATAATTTCATAGATTCACTTGCATTTCTGAAGGATTACTATAAGTCTGGGCGATTTCGCTACGCCACTTCACTCTTGTGAATATGATCTGCCTATAGAGCAGTGATCAACCATTGCGGGAATATCAGGAACATCATTTTCAGGTCATTTCTATATTAGAAATGAATTCATATCATTTTATTATCAATCGGTGTTATTTTCAGGATGTTTTGGAGAGTGTTCGTTATGATGGATAATGATTTTGTGCTGAAAACAAATTTCAAACCTGGAATAACACTGAGTGATTGATCGTCTTTTTTGAGACACGGTTCGCCCTCATCCATAGGCGAGTTTCTAACCGATGGATGGCCACTGTTCATCTGCAAACGATTTGTTTATTAGCTTCAAGGTCACTCGATTGCTCTTTGACTTTTTGACATCTCTATTGACCATTAGAGTCTTATTGCTGGTTAGCTCACAAAAATCGACTTGTTCGTTGAATCGAAAACCTTTCATTTTCAAGTCGAATATTGCATACTGGAGATTGAATAGAATTTGGCAGTAAGCGTTTTAAATTATTAAATAAACAAGAATGAACTGGTAAATTTTGACTACGAGAACAAATCAGCTGGCTGGAAATAGTTCAGTGAGTTTTACGGTGAATATACTGTAATCACTGGCTTGAGGGAATACCTCTGATCGTACATTTTTGAGGTTACCTCATTATGTTATTGTGATCACATCATCGCTTTTCATCAACGCAATTCGATCAGTGTGAATGCTGTGCGATCTGCAAAAGGATCAGAATTTGATGGAAGCTAGTAAAAGAATTCATATTGTGCGATTGAAGACGGCGATTAACGATTTGTAGATTTCCTGGCATGAACTAATATATCGTTGGTAACATATCAAGATGGCTATGACATGAAAGCATAATCAGCAAAAGTATCGCAACGTTCATCCGACGCCTGAACGAGCTTCGGCCAGTTCCAGTCACAGCTTTCAGTGAAACTGGTCTACTAAGCTTGAGCTAGTTGGTTCAAGCGGGAGTGCAGTCGAGCCTCAGTCAATGATTAGGCTGTGGTTAGGGAAGCGCAGTCTTCTGAGGTGCTTTCAGGATGGTCACTTTTATCACCGCGCAGTTCAAAGACATTGTGAAAGGAGAGAGAGAGTATTGGGAATTTGAGTGTCTTGTGAGGAAGTTGAGGAATATCTTTTAAATCTGAGTTAACTCTCTGCGAAACACATACATATATAATCCTATTGAATCAACTAAGACTAAGGAATTAATGATTGATGTAGATATGGGCGAGGGATTTGCAATGATCAGATGATAAGATAACAAAAGAGATTTAATGGCTTCAAATATATGATTCTTAATGAAGAGCATAATAAACACATTTTCAACGGAGAAAGAAAAAGGCAATATTCTTCTGGAACCAATTAATGTAAACATTTTAATCCCAATTAGTTGATCTTCGCGATTTGATGAAGTTCAAAAAAATTTCGAAGTTTCAAAGTTTGAAAGTACTATGTATATTTCATAGAATATAGTCAATGTGCTCGTATATAATTATGATTGTACACACTCAACGCTCATCGTGACGAAACATATGAATATACGTAAACGAATAAATAAATAATGAAATCGGGAAAAATCGAAAAAGAACGCTGGCCAAATGAATAACTTGAATAGAAGCGATGTATGGAAAATTTTTGAAAAAAAAANCATCATCCACTTTTCTCAGTTCACGCTTCATTCGATAGAAATGCCATCCATCGTAAAATTAGAATTCGTTTAGATGAAATAATAATAATTCCATTCAACCAATTATGCGCTTTATTCACCATGCTGTCACCATTTGTACGTCATATTTATAACTGACGCAAGAGAATAATACTTGAAGAAAACTCTTGAATTAATGAATAAGAACCCTGAGACTGTGCATCCTGATCCTGATATCTTCTTCCGATCTTACAACAGTCTGGCAGATCATTTCGCGGAATTGACAGAGATTGACATTGTTTTGAAGTTGTTCAACAGTTCTTTTAAATTACTTAAATAGTTGTTTAATCATGCAAGAGTTGGCTAAAAGAAATGTAAATTCTTCAGTGGATATGATCTATTCGATAAGTGCTAAATGCCTTCAAAGTTTGTAAATGTCTTCAAAGTTGCCACTGATTAAAATACGATCGGATAAAGTGTATAAGAGATGAACAGCATGATGAGTGATGCATCAATTAAGAAATTAATTTTCCCCATCCATCGGTTAAATTGATTTCAGAGTAACTATTTGTCACATGAAGCGTGAACGCTCAAAAACATCAAGCGTATAACATAGAATTGTACATAAATAAACTTTTTCATGAGAACTAAACTAAAACAGTCCAGAAGTTCGTCATACATTTGTGAGGACCACGGAAAATTGAGATGAAAAACTGAGCAGTCTCTTAAGAACATTTGGGGATGATGAAACAAAAATCTCAAAATGTACGAAAGATTTCCATTCATGACGAATTATTGCTATAATTGATATTATTATTACTGTTAAGATCTTCGTCAATGCTTTTATCACCATTATAAATGTTATTATCATCATTTCTATTCCTGCTATTATTATTTTATCATTCCTGTTTATTATTATTGCTATTGCTTATTATTTTATGAAAATTGCTATCGATCTATCGTTATCATTATTAGAGATAGTGTTATTATTATTACTACTTTCATTATTGTTGCTGTTGTGCAGAACAACTGGAATGCTGGGAACGACATTCATATTGTTTGTTTGCGAAGAAGCAACACACCGTTTGCACTTATTGAAGATTACTTTTTTGCAGTAGTCGTCTTCAGACGAAAAAAATTCAAAGAAGAACGCAACAGTGATCATTCGTTGTGTTGTATTGTGTACGTTTGCAGTAAATGAATTCTGTTTTGTGTTTTTTACTAGCAAATATCAACTCGAAACGATCACAATTTATCATTCAAAATGACCTCATTGAGAGTGATTGATGTGAGGTTATTTTACGTTTCGATGAACTGCCTGAAAAAGACTTTCAGTAAACAAATTCTATTGAACACCAACAATAAAAATATCAAATGGCAACTATTACACGAATATCAAAGAAAAAACAAAAACAAAAGCAATAATAATATAGTAACGCATTGCATAACAACCTTCATAAAACAGTCAGTTGAGTGTTCATTGTGAGATTCAGTAGCATATGAGGAGTAAAAGAATTGTTTCCCTATAATTTCAGCTCTTCGATATTTCAAGCAAACAAAGAGACGATGAGGACTTTACTCGTTTCTTGGATTGTTTAAAGAAAGATCACTTAATGGAGAAGATCGAGGTCGAAAAAAAATTCAATTGGTCGACATTTTAGGGTTCGGACGTTTCACAACTGAAGCTTAGGCTTTTCGGTGATACGCCTTTTAAGCGAACGCTGCTCGAAGCCAGAAATAGCAACAAAAACAAAACCGGCAGCTGAACAGAGCATGAATTAATCGCTTTAATTTATCCTGTCGGTAAATCGAGGGAGCAATAATTCGCGATGATGACTCATGAATGTGCATTAAAAAAATGAAACATTCAACATTCTGTTTACAACCGTTTGTGGGAAATTTCGTAATTCATCCATGAATAGAAGATGCGAACGTATGCTTTTCAGCCGTATGCGATCTATTTGTGATTATTACTGAGGTAACATTCGGGCAAAATTTCGCTTCAAGCTAAATGAATGATATCTGTGAATATGTCGTGGTGAGATAATTCAACCTGAACCAGTAGGAACTGCCTCATAGCTGGTTGTATTCAGTGATTGGAAAATAAATCAGTGAAACAGAGCAATCGTGAGTGAAAAATAGGTTATGGATGTACATACATATATATTTACATTAATTTATGAATGTACGCATGAATATGCTTCTTGCATAAAAAGATGGAATGTAAAAACTAGATAGAATAAAAGAGAAAAGGTGAAACAGAAGAAGATATTTCCTTAAGGATGTGCAAATCACGAATATTTTGACATAGCAAATAAACGTGTGAATGGATTAAAAGAGTATAATTACAGGTTACTTCAAGTCTAAGAATGTGATGATGGACAAGGCGTTCTTATTAGGCACCTCACTCAGTCTTGATGAACTCTTATTGAACTGAGTTCGACTGAATGCAAAAGTCGATGTTCAGTGGCTTGTTGACCCTGACTTAAGATTAGAAAGATATAAGAAGTGGGGGCGGATGTCCTCAAGTCCTTGTATGACATCTAATGATGAATGACAAGGTAATAATCACCATTATTATTAGTGTTATTATTATGTGCGCAGATAATAAATGGGCAAGACATCGTATAATCGGTGATTTAGTCCATAAGCACGCACGTCAGATCTGTAAACTGTATACCGTGATTGCAGTAACCACTGAACTGGAGTAATTACGGTTAATATGAACAGTAGAACACTGTTTATTTACTCATTCATAAACTTGTTGAACTCATAAGAAGATGTGAATTACTTGCAATTATGCATTGTTATGATAACTAGGCCATAACCTTAAATTATTATCATAATATATTCATTCATGTTCACCTCATTTCAGTTAAAACTTCAACTCACAACTCAATTAATCAAAAGTGTTCCTTTAGAGAAACTTATTTACACATGTGAGGAAATTACACGTAAGACATATGAACAGTGATCATTTCAAGCACCGATAGAAATCGCGTGCGCATGCAATAGGCTATTAATATTTAGTTTTTGGTCGTGTAAAACGTAATAATTGACGATCTATGCTCTGAAGTGAATATGAATCATAATGTAACAAACCGATTAATTTTTGAATAATTTGCGGTTTCAAATGCACCGTTCAATTCACATTCATAAATTTTATACTGCATGATTTTTAATCGTTCTCCAACGTCTTCCTTATATGTGGAAGCAAACAAGCAACATCAAAGAGCAACACACAAAAGAAGGCATTTTTCAAGCGCTCCAGGCTCACCTCTTTGAATGATTCGAATTCCAATTAACCCAAATGCAAAACATCCATTGACTATACTGACTGATTCAATGATGAATGCCGCTCACATTCACATAATAAATAACGACGGCCAAATCACGACGCTTTGAACTCGACTGAAAGGCAGCAGCAAAAAGTGGTGCTGATCAGCGAATTGCATCAATAGACGAATAAATGAATGAATGTGGATAAATGCGTAATTTGCATATGAAAGGGAAAGAGGGCTTCGTTCGATTGGATTGAATTGAGCGAAACGGATTTCAAGTAAAATTTCAATCGTTAGACATCGCTTAATTGCAATTGTATAATCACTGAGCTGCTGACATTCCTATGTGATCTTTCTGTTTCTGCAATCTGCA